ATCTGTCGTTCTAGACAGTTTAATATAGCAAAAAAATTGTGTTGTTTAGTTTGCATAAATTTGAAAGTTTTCCGAAATGTTTCTTTATCTAGTCGATGAATAACAAAGTTGTGACATCTCAAAGATTTGAACATAAGCTACGAACAATTTTACTTTCTCTAGAACATTCATTTTAGTCAAACTTTCTTACTGAGATACCATAGCTCAGACCATCGATATTGCACAAAGACAGGGCAAAAATTTAAAAAAAAACACGTAACTCTCTGTATTTTTTCTAGCTTTATGTAATTAATTATTTTTTAAACATCGAAATGTCTTCCAATTTTTGATGAATTATTGAAAAGGCAACATAATATGCAAATCGTGTTAATGCATCTTGATCTACAGTCAAGCTTCCGCCCATTAACCGATTTAAGGTAAATCAAACTACAGAACCAACAAATGAATCAAAAAACAAACTTCTTACAAAAAAAATTAAAATCTTGAAAAATGGCTGAAATTTTTGATTTGAACAAGAGTTTTACTGTGTTAATATTTCTGTACAAAATTAAATAACTAGCTGAGAGAAGTATTCTGACAAGTCAAACGGCTACATTCAGACTGTCCAACAAAAATTTTGTAACTTTTTTTTCCTGACAATTCTTGTCCTATGCAAATGAGTTGGCCTGGGGACTTTTATTCCGATCACTAAAAATGCTTCTCACGACGCACTGGTCAAGTTCTAAGCTGAGCTTTGATATTGTTAGACAATTAAATTAAGAGAACAACAGACAAATTACAAAAATTGTTTATCGCCTGTTTTCATTTTTCCAAAGCCGGCCTTTCCTTGCAAAACTCTATATTTTAAGTTTGCATAGTGAAAATGTACTTCATGTATGTGTTGTTGACTTTAATTAAGTTTGCTTATCTGAAAAATTGTGCTGGATATGTTTTTGTGTGAATGTTTATTTGTCACATAAGCAAATGCAAGTTTTTATCTTTTTGTATGTGTGTATATATGCAGGTTGATGTGACTCTATGTAGTTTTTTTTGTGTGTCTGTTTGTGTCTATGTAAAAATCTATGTTTGTATGTATGTATGTATGTATGTTTTTATGTATCTATATATGTTTGTATGAATGTATGTATGTGTCTATAGTTTTATGTTTGTTTATATGTAAGTATGTATGTGTGCATTTACGTATGTATGTACGTTTGTTTTGAAGTAGGGTTGTATGTGTGTATGTATTTATGTATGTGTGTATGTATGTATGTATGTATGTATGTATGTATAACTGTTTGTTTGTATGTATGCATATATGTGTGTATGTATGTATGTATGTATGTATGAATGTATATATGTATGTAAGTATGTATGTATGTATGTATGTATTTATGTATAAGTGTATATATGTATTTTTGTATGTATGTATGTTTGTACGAATGAAGGTTTGCTTTTATGTATCAATGTGTGTATGTATGTATTTGTGTATGGGTGTGTGTAGTTATTGTTTAGTGTAAACTTGTTTGAACGTCCTTACGTAAGTATTTCTATGTGTATATTTGTGTGTATGTATGAATGTATGTATGTAAATATAACTGTAAGTTTACAATTAAAAAAATTTATATGTATTTAAGTTTATATAAGTAACTTTTTATGTTTTGTGTGTGTTTATATGCTTTAGTATATTTATTCACTTATTTAAAACACTGTATTTTAAAGAAATTGTTTCCGTTATTCAATCCAATCCTTTTTTAATCTTTTTTCTTAAAGTCTAGAAAATTCTAGAATAATAAACCAAACACAACAAAAACAAATATTTTGATTTTCTTGATTTGCAAAACAACCTTATAAATTAGAAAAGTTTTCTCAAAATCTTTGTTTTTCCAGGTATTCTAATTAAGAACTCTTCAAGTTGAGTTTACCTGCAGTCAATTTCTACACAAAATGTAGTAAAAGCCTAAATGAAAAAACTAGTTTTCATTTTTTACAAAACCTTATTGATTAAAGTAGCAAACCCTAAAACCATTTGGCAACAGCATGGAGCTCAAAGTGTTTGATGAATTGTTGCCGATAGCATTGATTAAGATAATTAATTGATCAGAAAAAGATTATAGTTATTTTAGTTGAAGCTTTGTTGACCGTGCAGATGACCGAGATGGATAGAAGAATGGTTTAAGATCACATGCTGCTGGCACAGCTGAAGACTTTAAGTGAGCCCAGTGTAAACGCTAGGTTTTGTATAGTTGAAGGTCGATTGATTTATAACTATAAACACAATTTTACATTGTTTTTTATTTAAGGAATGAAATTATGGAGTCAAATTTATAAACCGAGAGGAGTGAAGCAACTGTATAACTAGAGAAACTGTCAATCGACTTGTTTTTGATTTCGAAATTTAGTTAATTGATGAAATTTTTAATGCTAATTGCTGAAATTTGTTTTGAAATAAATTGCAAGTCTGTCTACAACGAGGCCCACATTTTCGATTCCTTGAAATGAAATCTCCAAACAAAGATTATTAGTTCAAAAAATCATAACAAATTCTAAATTCGTAACTTAAACACATGTCCTTGTTAGTCGTTCCAGCCTAAACCTTGCAATTTTTTCTTCGTACATTTTGAAATGTTGTTGTTTTTTGTCAGTTCCTTCGGAAGTTAATACGACCTAATTAAAGTTTATTGAAATGCAATGCACTACAAAGTGGCACTTACCGCTTTTTAGAAATTGTTATAGCCAACTTGGTGTGAGAGCATTTTAATACTGAAACAGCTGTCAACACTCAAGACTCCAAGGAGTCATATAGAATAATGATGATAAGCTTTGGTTTTTTAAATTACAGTTCCAGAATACTAATGGTTAGTCAAAAACGAGTCTTGTTTATAGAGAAGAAAAATTTGGATACAAAAAAGAGAGGAAATGGCATGATGCTAACTGTTTTGATCCTGCTATCGATCAGAGCGTGAATACTAAAGCTTGGTTCACCCTAAACATACAGTGAAACAAAGGTCCAACTCTTACTAACACAATAATTGAAGACGATTAACCATTTAGTTGGGTCAAAAAACTACCGATAATGGCGAGGCAATTGCGTTATCAGGGAAACAGTGAAAGATCAGATTTATGTTTAAAAATCTCACTCTAACTTGATGAGCAAAGGGTTGATATATGATGACAACTGATAGAGCTTCAAATTTTTGAAAAAAAACTCTAGCTAAAACATAGTTGACAATATCTAAAAAAAAAGATGATGGGAAAGATTGACCAGACTGTAATATCAAAATAAACAGTTTTTCAATTGCATATTTTTTCAATGGAGCAAGCAAATTTTTTGAATGTTCATGAAAGTTCAAATTGTACCCCGAAGTCATCTCAAATTTTGAGTTTGGATTCATAACTTGTCTTGGTTTATGTGCCGGCTTTCCCGATTGAATTAGCTCTAATGTGGTTAACTGCTTTCCAAAAAATCCGCAATAATTTTTCAACTGCTTTGTTCGATAGTCACTCTGTTTTTTCGTATGGTTTCTAACACATACACAACAGTTTTCCCCCTGTTTTAAGTTCCGCTCTAAATAATATGTCAAAAATTGTCTTTGCACAAAAGAGTGATTAGGACGTACTAAATGTTTTCTAACAGCATTGAAAAATGTTTCCTTCCCTTATGATGAAATGTGGCATGTGCAACTTTTAAAAATGGCTGAAGCATAACAATTGCGCAGTTTTGGTTTTCATTCCTGTTCTCGCTTTTCAAGATATTTGGCGTTTTTCTACTTTTCTATAATGTTAAAGCTTTTTTTTCATAGATTTAGATGTTTTTTTTTCAGTCTTCTGTAGACGGAAAAAAATGTTCAAACTTCGACCAAATTTCATTATTTTAAAGTTTTCAGTGTTTCATAATTTTTCCATGTCTCGTTATTTCGGTTGGCTTTTTTCTTTCTTATTTCTTTCAAAATGATTATTAATATTTGCGAAATAGGATGGAGGCACCGCACTTGACGAATTTTCCTTTATTCACAACTCAGCAATAAAACATGCATTTTTGAAGGAAATTGTTCACTGCTGCTGCCAACAGTTAAACTACGCTGCCAAAATATCCGGTGTTTTCTTAAGATCACATATTTTGGTTGCATTAGGTTCAATCGGTTGCATATAATAGGTATATAACGTCATTTACATGTTAACAAGCCAATAATCCAAAAATTTGGAGGGGTAACATACAGCAACCAAAACTTAATTCCATGTCCTTTCCAAAGAGTGCCCGAAAAATGACCAATTTTAACCGCACATAAAACATGAGTGCCCGAAAAAGTTGGAGATTTAAACCCTTAGGGAGTTAAAAATGGTCATTGCAACATCACACCGAAAAACGAGGGGAGGGGGTTAGAAGTGGTCATTTTCTTAGCCACTTTTAAGTAATTCTAGTGCAAATATGTCAGCTTATTGTTTTGCACTAATTGTCAGTAGAAAATTTGAGCACAAAAAATTATGCGGAGATTAGTTTCAGATTCTGGAATCTCTCTATATAGATTCGAGATGCCAGCATTAAGTTAAAATTGAATTCCATCACGTTGAATCCAATTGAAGCAAACTGTAAACTTTAGTACATTACATACAAAAATTATCCTAAATAATCAGTGATCACAATAAGAAGAACAGAACCGTTGATTAGTAAATATTACTACCCTTGATTAGTTTTACAGTTCGACAGTTTTGCACCGCTATAATTTCAACATCCTTTAATATTGACCAAGCCTCCGACGAACACTTTCAATAATGCCGCGAAACCTTCCTTTACTCTCCTCCTCTTCGAAATATTGATATAATCGTTGTGCAAAATCTTGGCAATTATCTGCAAAGAGACTGTACTCTTTCGCTAGTTCGTGTTTGCTCTGCAAAACATTGAAGAAGTCTGCGAGACTAACACCAGCGTTGGGCAACCCCATTTTCTTCATATTGTTTATGCCGCGAATACCTGTAGTACGTTTTTTTCCTCGATAGAAGTTGTTGACGCTCTCTCTATATTTGCTTCTCTGCATTGTCAACCCCTCTGAGTTCTTTTCAATTGACCACCACCATTCATCTGTCTCTAATATTATGAATGCGTGATATAACACCCCTTTGGTTATTTGCAATTCAGACAAAGGTTGCTTCCACATTTCTACCTTTAAAATCCGCTCATTCTTCACCAGTTGATCCAAGCGTCGCACCAATTCCTCAGCAGTAATGAAGTGCCCTGGTTTTGAATTTTCGCAATCTTCGTCGAAGTACAGCTTGCTTGTCCATGCAGCGCCTTTGCTCCTGTTTTCACTGCTGCTTGCAAATGAACTCATCTGAAGTTTTTAAGAATACTTCGGTTGAAATAACTCCTAAAATACCAAGAAAAATTGAAAATCTGCTGACTCCGGATTGATATTCTTACTTGTTTCCATCTCACAATACCATTAAAAAAATCCTTTTAGCGCTGGTTAAATAGTCAATTACATATAGCATGATCTGCGTAAAACAAACTGAACATCTCGAAAGCTTTTCTTGCTGTGTTGATTAATTATGTGATTCAACTTTTTAAAACATTTTACAACAAGCCAAGTTTTCATAACCGCCACAAGTTTTTTAAGATGCTTTGTGTAATCCGTATAGGTTTCAAATATTTTCTCGGTTTTCGTTTTCTTTGATCTTTAAGCTTGAATTTTGTGTAAAATGTCTTCCCGTTAAAAGAAAGAACAGTGAATAACATCTTAAAGTAAGTCTTTCAGATTTTAGTATGTAATGTTTTGGGTTTCTTTTAATCATGTAGCAATGTGCAATTTTAAAATCATGTTGCTTGCGATCCTTCCGGTAATATGTAGGAGTTATTCATAGGGCAAACTACACGAGTTCTGCTAGTAAACTCCGCTGTACAAATACTAAATCCGGCCGTTGAAAATCGAGCCATGTTATCAGAGTACTTGTGAGAGTTTTCCCACTTCGTTTTCTTAAACCTACTTTTTAAGAATGCGTTTTATTGGAAGCCTTGTGCCCAAAGGGAAATGTAGAAATCCCGTCAAAAAGGCAAAACTGTTTCGAGCTGAAGAGTGATAACACCAATTTTTTCCGCTTTAGTATCATCTTTTTGTGACCTTTCGAAATTATTTTGTCAGTCTATAATTTCCATGTCTTACCGTTCAATGGCTTTTCCCCGAAAATTTGGTGCTCTAATGCTCGCTGCGCAATTCGCTTCTTTTCTTTAGCGCTGAGCTTTTGCTTGCCACCCGAATGGAAACAAAATTGATTGAGGCAAAGGAGAATGAAACTCAAATATCCTCATTTCTGAACATCGGCAGGTTTTCATGCTACAACGAACAAAAAAAACTTATTATTATTTTTTGCCAAATAGGAGAAGACGAAAAATTTTACGCAACGGTGCGGAGAAAAATGTCACTACACTACAATTCTTTTCAGATAAATAAACGTCCGGATAGCATTGAATATTGTTGCTTAAGTCAGCTATATGTCCGTAGTTTAAGGTTTAAATTTGGGATTTTTGGTTTTTTTAAAATCTTTATATTGGAAGAATGGGGTGAAGGGCGAATGGAGTAGAGGTTTTGTTCACCCTTAAAGACAACCGAACACACTTTAGGTTTAAGGGCTATGATTCTTCTGATTAGTTTGCCAACAGTCTAGTCTTTAAAGTTCAAGTCAATTTTTTTTTGTATTATTGAAAATAAAATGATTCTGATCATAATTGGAGAAGTCGAACTCGGCTTTCATTTTCGATATGTCGCGGTAAACGTCGTTAGTTTTCAAAGCGTAAATGAAACTATCAATGTCAAAGAGAAGTAGGTGCAAGTCTAGATATGGTTTCAATTTTTGATCCGGAATTTTGAAACATGAAACAATTGGGCATGTCTTCCACTAGATCTTTGTCACTGAAAAGCTGATTGTGGCTCATTGATAATAAAAAATTTGAAAACTATTTTTTTTTGTCACAGCTGTTTTCTGAAGAAACTAATTCCTTAAATTCTCTTGCTACTTCTTAATAACCTAGATTTCATTATCTTAAAAATGCCGAGTGATGGAAGCTTTTGTAAAAGTTGTCTTGGACTTTACTTAGCGCGGCTTTTTGTTGTTGGTTGTTAGAGTCGACTAAGATTGTCGTTCAATCACTCCAACGGAACTGAAAAACGTTTCATCGGTGGGTTACTTTCATCCACCGCTCGTTGTACATGCTTAGGGTAAGGTTATGGAGATTATAACCTTATTTAGGTACGAGGTCTTCAGAAGATTTGGTACCGATGGCAGTGAAGGGATTACCAATTTTCCCAACTGGTGGATTTCCTCGCTGCTCCTCGCACCTATATCCAATTCCTTACGAAAAGGGATGAGAGGGTAATCAGTGAAGAAGTCATGAAGCTCTTCGTGTATACTTAAATTGACTTTGACGATATGACCCCAATTGCTGGCTAGCAGTTTTTTTATAATCTTCGATCAACTAAGGTTCGCTATTTCAAAAAATAGTAAAAACAATTTTCTAAAAACAACTTTAAGTTTTTTTTGTTAAAAAAAATGATTTTTTGATTCGAACCATACTAAAAAGTCCATCATAAAACTGTCTCAGTGTTGAGAAAAACTGGTTCGAATTTTTTGAGATGTGTTCAATTTCCAACGAGTAGCGCAATCGCGCAAAGCTCATTATATAGAGTTGTTTTCTTAAATCAATTTGGATTAAAAAAAAAAACGATTTTACCAAAATAAAACTAATTTTGGTTTTTTACTTACTAGTTACTTGGCAAAAGAATTTTCCAAAAACATTCCAATTTATTGTGAAAAAAAAACTTTTCAAAATTTCATTTTTTTTTTTCGTCATTTTTTTCTTTTTTATTCTTTTTTTTAAAGACTAGTGTTGTCAATCATAGCTATTTCACTAATTTCCTACACGATCATATAGTTCTCGATTCATACCACCTATTTAAAACAATACTAATTTGAAGAAAAGGAGAAGTTTCTTTTTATGAACATGGTCGGACCATTTGGTGCTACTTGCACATCAACCGGTTCTTTGGTTCTTTTGTGTATTCTTTGGATTAAGTTGAAACCTATTATGAAGAAAAAATTATTTTGAAATAAACTCCTTAATTGAATTTGTTTAAACTGGAAAAGCTATTGTTGGATTTGATTAAACTCACAGGTCACAGCTCTAGATAAAAATAGTAAATGAAGAAGAAATGGTAAAAAACGGTACCTTTTTTGATAAAACTTCACAGTGTACCCTCACCGTTGTTCTGACCAATGTTTTGAATAATCGCCTAATAAAAAAATCCACCAAGCTACAACAGCCCCAAGAACAAACTCAAAAGTTTTGATAAGAATAGCTTCAGTCAAAAAAACCACTCTCAAACATTAACCAAACTAATAAAATACATTAGCGAAAACCATACGAAAGAAGTTTTATAACAATATGAGTTTTATCCTAACTGAAGCCCGAAGCATTCTTTCGGGTTTCATTTATAATCGTTTTCCGCATGTTTCGCAAATTTTTTATAATTAAATGTATTGTTTTTTGAATCATTTTGTTACCGACTAACCATAATCCATGGCAATCGATTTTACTAGAAGATTTTACTAAATAAATCCATCGTTAAATAGGTAGCGTGACAAACAGACGGTGTATTTTTTACGAGACTTTTAAATGAGAGAGATACACCCCTTCCTCTATCTCGCTTTCCTCTTTCTCCATCTACCAAAAACTGTGCATAAAATGAGTGGTTTTTATTTTGACGTCAAAATTACAAAGTTAAATTTATTTTTGTTGAAACTTTGAGTATTCACAGGGCGGATCTAGGATTTTCTCGAGGGAGTGGGGGGGGGGGGGGTGGATATCTCAAGATAGTACAAAGAGGGACCTTTTGGGTCGGCAGGGGGTCGAATCCCTGATGTGATCGGGGAAAAGGCGTCCGTAAACCCCTCTCTCTCCTCTAAATCCGCCTCTGAATATATATGATGAACTAGAACTTTTCTTTTATATATTTTTTCCAATTGTCAAAAAGCACAGTGGACAAATGCTCTTTTTTGCATGGAAGCGCTATTAAATTTTAGATGATATTTAGGTGGCTTTCTCAAATTGTGAGCCAAAAGTACTAGATGAAAACTAACATGAGGGTTCTTTATCAATCGGCCTAGAAATTTAAATGTATCGATTTAATCAGCTTTTCCAAATTGCAGCCTTAAAACACATTTTAATGGTGATTTTTTGACTTAACAAACCTACAAAATGATTTGAAAAAAAAGCCATCTATTTGAAATCATGTAATCAAAAAGTTTTTTTTATCCTAGTGCCAAGGGAAACTTTTGAGCTTTTAATTAAACAAAAAATATACATCATGCTTATATTCTAATGGAAGTCATTTTCTAACCTTACCAAAAATAAAATTCACCTTTTTAATTTTAAATATTGCTACTGAAAAAAAAATAAGACATAGTTATATTTTTGCTGTTTATATAGTAAGGGCTCCTTAATTTATTTGAACACTAATATCTTTTTCACTTTTTGTGTACAAAGGAAACGAACATCCATGACAAGTTGGACAAACTCACCAAAATAAATGAGCCTACATTTTTTTCAAAAACAAATTCGGTGAAAAAACAACAAAGATAGCAGAAAACTTACCAAATTAGATTTCTGAGAAATACTATTCGTGACAGTGAAGTAAGAAAAATTAATGCTCAAACACGACTGTTGTGTATTTTCGAATATCTAAATGGTTATAATTTTTATACTGGTGAACAAAACTGAATTCGACGGTGAGTGACTAATTTTGATAAAATGTAAATATGCATACCAGGGGTATATCAGTTAAGATCAACAAAAACCGTCCACTTCAGTTTTCATTAAGATAGTGCACAATGCTGATTTAAGATAGCCAAACACAAGAAGAATACCTAACCTGTTTAGAAAGTGTTTAGAAACTGTTTTTCCAAAATTGAGCTAACTTCAGGCAGAAAACAATTGTTCACAACAGCTCTAACTTTCAACAAATCGAACTACTCAATTTTTTTGCAAAATTTATATTCACACTTTCTTCATACATTTTTTAAATTCAGTTTTCACTCTCAAATAAAAAAAATTTTTTTTACTGGTAAGTAAATTATGCCAAATTCAGCGCATGCATTATGCCAAAGCCGGCACTTTTTGGTTTTAAAAGCTTTCTCAAGATAATTTGCAGACTTTTTTCAGATTGTATCAGATGTTGGTATTATTTTTCTTACAAATCAGAGGTACACTTCGTAGAAATTTTAGTTTTTGCTAGTTTGAAATTTCAATTTTAAACATTTTAATTTACCTTTCTTGACTGATTTCATTTCAGAATAAATTTTTTGTGCGGGATGTTTTTTGTTCAAGCGTAGCTTGTCAAGTCTTCGAACTTTTAAATCAGCAGTTTCAGGCAAAATCCAAGCATCTAGGATAGTGCGTAGCACACTACGAGCCCAAACTGCACGTTCTGTGCATTGTGAGCAGATTTTGCACCATGCCAAAATCAAATTTGTCGCAAAATCCGCAACTTTGCTACTTTTCTTTGATCTTCTTCGTTTTACGGAGTCCACTCGCATTTACGGAATCGAGATCAGTTTGTGGATCAAAAAGTTAATGATAGGATATTTGTATAGTTAAATTGAGCTGTTGCGGACTCCGCAACTATAAGCGGAATCCGCAAACTGTAAGTGGAACCCGCAAGTTGTAAGTGGAGTCCACATTTTGCTTGCGGTTTCCGTTTAAACATATGTTTATTTGTATTATAGCGTCCAAAATTATACCTTTTATTTAGCAGATGATCACCATAAAAATGAATCTCAATTACTACATTGATCAACTACCAGTTGAAAACAAAATGTTTGGTCTCAATTCCTGTCTACCTAACTTCGATATCAAATCTTGTCAACTGTGATCTCAATTCACTAGAATCGGAGTCTATTAGATCATCAGTATTTGGGATTGATGGAGTCCCAAATACCGACCAGTATTTGGGGTTTATGCAATCCCAAATACTGACCTAAATCGGCAATATGTTGTGCGTTGTGTTTCCAAACACTCTCAGGCCAATGACTACAAATATCGAATTTATTCGGCGTTATGCTTCCAAAATCAGTATATGGGATTGACACAATCCCAAATACTGACCTAATAGGCAAATATTGAAATTATTTCATGTTGTGTTTCCAAAAAACTAAGAGGTGACATCTACCGACTTAGTCAACAAATGTTTTGAGATTTGTTCGTGGATTCCGCTGACAATGGTTAAATCTTTGTCTCTAAAATCCGCAGTGCTATAGATAAGAAGTCTAGCTTAAGCTTTTAAATGTTGAGATGGAAGTTCAGTAAAAAAATTCCGAATCCACGTACAGTTTACGGAATCCGCTTACAATTGCAGATTCCACTTACATTTGCGGATTCCACTTACAATTTGTGGAATCCACTTAGAATTGCGGAATCCAGAACAACTAGCTATATTCGCTTGTTGCGGAGTCCGCAGCACAACAAATGTGTACAGTTTTTTAAGTGGAATTTACTTACTTTTAAAAACATGTTTAAAGGTTTGTCTATTGAATCCAGGAACATACCTACACAAAATTGTGCACCTATCCAGTGCACAGTTTGGCCTCTTAATGCACATATGCTTGAAAAAACGTAGATTCCGAGTTGGATCACTGCTACTTTTTTTGGTTTTTGGTCTGAGTATGAAAAACCACCACAAGTTTATAATGTTCTTATTCTTCATAAAAGTTGGAGCAAAACTGTAACAAATCTGCTGGTTTTTGTTTGGGGCTCGTTTTTTATTAAAAACTTTCGTTCGCAAGCAAATTAATGCGCGAAGTGACAGTTTTCCTGTAGGTAAAGTAAGATCAGGTTCAATTTTCTTGATTTTTCTAGTCAATTACCCTCCCGAAAATAAAAAACGTCACGTTTCAGAACTGATAAAATCTATTAAAAATAAATTTGATTTGAAAATTGTTAGGCTAATTACTTTGAAAAATTATCACTCCTTCTGAGCAAAACAAAAACATAAAAATTTACTTTTTCGTTGTGAGCGATACATGAAAACCTGAAGAAGCCGAAATAATTTTTGCACAAGTTATGCGAAAAAATCAAAAAAGGAACATATTGCAAAGCAGAATTCTTAATAATACGAGTAACAAAAGAAATTGTAGAGATAAGAACGGTTGTTTAATTTAGAAAAAAAATCAGTTAATTGGAAAAGAAGGCGACAAAATTAAGCAGACGAGCAATAATTAGACGATTTATTTCCCCACATAAATAATTTTCAAACTTTCACGAAGCGAAAAAATCAGATTAAAACGTATGGTACCACTAGAACAAGTGAAGAGAAACCTCAAAGCTGTTAAGTTTTCACAATGAAGCAAGTTCACATTTTCACAGATTTGCAAAAATTGTAGGTGGAAAACATTATTATCCGCGGTTACAAGTCACCTGTTTTTGCAAGTAAAAAGAATGGGTTATTTCAGATATAGATTCAGATCTGAAACATATTTTTATAATCATTCTGGATTGGAACCAGATCTAAGCTACATTTTATTATTGTTTATAAATTAGATATTTTATCACTATAAAATATTTAATACTAACCAATCATGCTCCATCTAACTAACAACCCACTTATTTGTAAAAGAAACAGTAATATACAACAGCAAATAAACAAACTAAAAGAAACAGTAAATAAAAACTACCCAGTCCATGATCAAATATATTTTTTCGACTCAGAAGCCACTTCACATTCATCAAAACAAGGAAAAGAAGAATAAAAAAATATACAAAAATAAACCAGTACGTCTATACAATTGGAATCAACCAATCAGACAAATTGAACATTACGCACTAACAGTCATAAAACGAAAAAATGAGCCAAGGTTAAAGTGACAAAGTGACGAAAGTCCAGACGAAAACTCAGTTTTTCCATTTCTCATCAATTCACTCACTGATGATAGAGGACAAGTACAATTTTGCAATAATCTAATCGCAAATTTATTCGAACAAGGAATTAGCCCATGTAAAGCAGAATTCCCAGAAATAAAAATCAAAAAGACAAATTGCCGATCATTATTTTGAAAGCATATGTAACCTAACACAACAAAATGGAATTTACACCATAGAACTCAGTACAGTAAGTAAATTTCATGGTAAATATGTTATTCAAACAGACGACATCGACATAGAATTTCCAAAAGTATTCACAGAATACATTAAAAACATACAACATCAAAATTCACAAAGAGCAAATTCAATATTTACTAACGATGTTTTTGCAATAATATATAGTTATCTATCCATACTAGAAAAGACAGAAACCCAAATTACGTCACCAGTTCAAACATCAAGACACACGAATGTAAGAAATGAAATTGCAGCATTCTCAGCATTTTTAAACACAATCCGTGAAAAATTTTCAAGTAATGAAGTCTCACAAAATGTTAAACACGATTTACAAGTAATTTTAGCATGGTTTATAAATTGACTATTTTACACATAATTTTGATTTAATTGCACACGCAAGAAAAAAGTTTAGACCTCAAAGTACTGATAATGACCCTGTCATTGCAGAACAATCAGATTATATTTTCGACACTGATTGGTCTCATCCACTATTCCTGAACATCCCAATAGACGTCTCAAGTCAGGCAATCAGTACAAAATCTATTCATAAAAACTATGTAATTGTATTTCCACTTACAATAGATGCAACACCTTTGAACTATAATTCATTCCTACCCGATAGAAGACAAAATAACAGTTTAAACTCAACTATTGTACAACAGGAAAATCTAAATGGAGCTAGAAATCTTACACAACAGGATATTCAAACACCGTCACATTTTATAAATGAAGAAATAGTTGAAACAATAGTAACAACACACAACAAAATATTTTACCAATACATCCAAAACCTTACAATGCCAAAACCTAAAAATCCAAGGTTACCACAAGTAACATTGCAATCTACGGTTAAACCCTCGGTTGCTCCAAAATATTCACATATGGATTATCAGACATATAGACCAATGACAAAACCATTAAAAACAAGGAAAACATTCACAAAAATTAATTTTGCCGATGACAATTATAATTATGTCAATCCATCACAAACAACTCATCCCTTCCGAATAATTACGCAAAATCATTTATTCTCACAAAAATCAATTTTTCTAAATACATCAGCAAATTCAGTAGTTTCCATGACTACCCACATTCCTTACAGGATCGGAGCAAAAATTACCCATTTTTCCAACAAAAGAGAAATAAACAACAAACACCCTATTATACAAACTTTTTATCATCAGATGATGACGAATATTATCAACCAGATATTTTCGCACCATATACACAAGAATATCGTGTACAAAAACCTCGACAACATCAAGCATCTCAAAACATGAAAACTTACCCACAAAACCCAGCTAATGTGCAAAGCTACCAACCATTGCACATGCAAAACCCGACTAGTACACAATCCTATCAACCAGCACAATCACAAAACCCGGTCAGTATGCATTCCTACAAACCAACACAAATGCAAATTGAAGTACCCTTACCATATTATTTACAACAACATGAAATAACAAAAAACCAACTTACAAACTTTTCACAAAAATCCAACGTTACCACGTAACATTGCAATCTACGGTTAAACCCTCGGTTGCTCCAAAATATTCACATATGGATTATAAGACATATAGACCAATGACAAAACCATTAAAAACAAGGAAAACATTCATAAAAATTAATTTTGCC